AGAGTGACTGTATTGTGTATCACTTGTCTGCCTTGGATTTTATTCACCGCTATCTTCTTTCGTTATCTGCCTTATCGTTGTTGTTTTTTGACTATTAAACTGTTCTTATCTCAACCCATGGGTTTGGGTTGAGACTCTCCTCCCCAGTCCACTGGGACAGGATGATGGGGATGAGTGAACAGCTGCGTTGTACTTAGATGTCAGCTGGGGTTAAACCACAACACTGGAGTAAGGTAAAAATATGTAGTACTAAAAAGGTCAATTAACTTATCATTAATTACAAATTAAATTTCATAATTTCTTTTGTTAATAGCTGTGTGAGCAAATTAGTTGTTACAGTTGTTTTGAGCAAGACTTTCAAAAATAGTAAAATAACATAGAAATGAAAACATACCATTTCATATGGAGAAGGAAAAGTGCAGTAAATGCAGAGATTCTGGTAGTGGTTTATGGATGTTTTGGCAACTATTTAAATCAAGGTATTAAAGCTTATATACATATTGACCATATGTGGAGTTCTGACAAATTAAAACTGTGCATGAAGTACATGTCATTAATATACAATCAACTCCAGAGAGAGTATCTTCAGAAGTACCACTCATAAATCTTTTTTAAGAGCAAGTTTGATTTGTGCACTCCTTCTAAACTATTTCTTTTGCACTGCTGGGAAATATTATTGGACAAATTGAGTCTTCCCTGATAGGGAATAAGATATTATGTGGTCCTATTAGATGTAAGCTGGAAGAAAAAGTTGCATCCAATAATTAGGATAAGAGCTACTTCTAACAATAAGAGTTACAATACCTCTTTAAAGAGAAAAGTGAGAAGGAAAGAGCTCCTGGTTTTGGAAGAGCTGTGCCCCTGAAAAAGATATATACCTGTGTTGAACATTCATGATGGGTTTGAGTACCTGTTCCCTATATACAGAAGGTAAATAATAGATTAAATAGACTTTCCCTCCATTCATTCTGAAAAGCTTGAGTGATGTATGTGGCACTAGTGTATTGTACTGTCTTGTATTTTCCGAGATCTGGTTGGCATGGTTGAAGCATGCTAGTTAATGGTAATTTTTTGTGAGTATAAAAGAACTGTTGTGAAATGGTAGCTGTTTCTTGGATGGTAGCTGTACATAAACCACCAAATATAAATTATGCACAAATCCATTCAGTATTGCTGTAGGTCTTAAATATTGGATAAGCTTTTTATTACTTTGACATCACCGGTAGCTTTTCCAAGTTTTTTCATGTATTCCATATAACGTTCTGTGGTTATATTCTTTTCTGGTGGTTGTTATAAATTGTTCTGGTGACTTGTCACCTCCAAGTGACTAAAATGTTCCTGAGATGTCTTGCCTTCCTCAAACAATGTTCTAGAGTCAAGAAAGCAGTTATTTAGAAATCTGTATGAAGAGAATACATGTTTTCTGGGATTTATGTGTTATCTATTACCACATTACTTTTGAAGATACTTTGGAATTAAAGCTAATGCATCATTTTTAGTAATGGTGTTTTGAAAGCTGAATATTTTGAAGTATTTGCAATAATATAAGCGTCTAAATTACTGAGATCAAACAAAGATATAAATGTGATGGCTGCACCATTAAAATACAACTAAGATGCCTCAGGTCCATATTATTGTAGATACCTAGTCTTAGATTTACTTGGGAGGGGCCGGGGGCGGAAATGTCATGCCAGCAAAGCTTCAGTATGTATTTTAAAACAGTGGAATGTATTGGATCTGTAATGTACTATTTTAGCTTTAATTTAGTTTTATGTGGTTGCTGGCTATACTTTCTTAGTTTATGAACTGCAAATAGTGGAAAAGACTAATGATTAAACTGGTACTGAAACAGAGTAAACTTCGTTTTTCATCTCCTGGTGCAATTAATAAACACCTTTTTTTTTTTTTTTTTTTTTTTTTTGTAACAAAAGAATAAAATTGGAGTGGGTACGTGTAGGAAATACTCTGCTTTTTGGTAGCTTTAAATTTCTATTTAGGAGCAAGTGAGATAATCTTAATGTAGTTTTGCTTGAATAAAAAAATGTTTTACAAGCATTTTTGTATTACTTACCTAATGAATTATATGTCTGTGTTTCAGCTGGCTCTTCTATAAAGAACCTTTTGTTAATTAAGCATCTAAAATAGCACAAAATACATTAGCATTTTGTTAATCTTTGTTAAACATTCAAGTCTTGTCTCTTTCTCCAATATGTAACAGGTCAATTTTATTGGCGGATAGAGAAGGATGATGGCAGGCAATAGCCAGCTTTGCATTCGACGTTGGACTACCAAGAACGTGGCCAAGTGGCTGAAGGAAGAAGGCTTCTGTGAATATGTGGATGTTTTGTGCAATAGACACAGGCTAGATGGAATTACGTTGCTGACACTTACTGAGTATGATTTACGGTCCCCTCCTTTGGAAATCAAAGTCTTGGGGGATATAAAAAGGCTAATGTTGTCCATACGCAAACTACAGAAGCAACATATTGATGTCTTAGAAGAGCTGGGTTACAACAGTGATAGTCATGTTGGCACAGGTCCAAGTGTTGGTTCGCTGCAGGGGACAGATTGGTTTTGTAATGGTGAAGTACCTCGGGACTATGATGGACCAATTACTGACTCAAATGGTGATCAGTATCAATATGCAAATGGAAAAAACAAACACTCTACACGAAGACTGGACCCAGAGTATTGGAAGACTATTTTAAGTTGTGTGTATGTCTTCATAGTGTTTGGCTTTACGTCGTTTGTTATGGTTATAGTACATGAGCGAGTACCTGACATGCAAACATATCCACCTCTACCAGACATATTTCTAGATAGGTAAGAAATTTTCCTTTAAGACAAAATAGTAAATTCATAGTTAAAATACAGGCTGTCTTTTTTTTCATTCTCAAAGTTTCATGTGCTCTTGAAGATGTCTCTGAGAAATAATATTTGGGTTATAGTAAACCCTTCTACTAAGACTGAAATGTGTATCAGTTAGTTGCAGAGATTTAGTCTTAAGGGAAAATAATTTGAGCTGTTGTTTAATTCTACATCTTTAGCTCATAATGACACAGGAATTAATTTGTTTAACCTCTCATTCTAGTAGAAAGGGTGATGGTCAGCTGGCATAAATAAGCTGGCGTATGCTTTTTCTGAAATCCAGGTGCTGCTGTGAAGCCTAACATGTCTTGGTACAGAAAAGCTTCTGATGGAGGATATTTTGGTCCACTAGTGAGCAAGGAATTGAAAGGGAATAGCATAGATAGTGTATTTTTGCTGTGTCCCTGCTGTCAATTTGTTGAAAATGGTTTAGGGAGACTCTGAAGTAGACTGAATAGACCGGTATCTTTCTTAACCGTAGAGTATCTGTGTACTAAAACAGTGTTGGGACTTACACGGAACCCTCTCATTTTAAAAGAAAACATTTCACTTCAGGCAACAAAGAGACAGTAGCAAAGGTGAAACTTAGTGATTGACTACAGATTGAATAGAGAATAAATGGTCCCTTTGAGGAAGTATACTTGCACCATAGAGGACTTACTGCCTAGAGAGTTTTGAAAGACAAGATAAACTAGTCAAGAGTTCTTCTGATCTCCTTATTCCTGCCAGTAATTTCTATTTTCATTAATGGTTTTCATGATGTCAGTAGAAGTCTAATCTTTTCGAATAGGTGTGCAGAATCCCCAGTAAATTTAGATATAATTCAGCAAGGGGAGAGAGAATGCGAGCTATGACATTACTGGATTTTGTTCACAGGGCACCACCATGGTATTCAGTGGGCAGGAGGATGGGGAGGTCAGAAAACAGCAGCTTTCAAAACAATGTGAGGAGATTACTACAAAGCTAGCATTTGAGCAGTGCTTTGCTACCCCTTTGTATCAGGGAGAACACAAAGCTATGAGGAGTAGCCTCTCTTGAAATCTGTTTATTTTGGTGAAATTGCAGAGTGGAAATTGCTACTAGTGCCATGTGTGTGCAACAAGGTCATAAATCTTTTGACAAGCAAGGCCAAGAGGCTTACATATAGCAATTATCACTGAAATCTAACATTGAAAGCAGATTTTATTTTTCCTAATGCTTTTCTGTGTCATTGTGCTTTATCACAAGTGTTTAGGATTTCAGGCTTTGCAGCATTTCATTAATTGTGTTGACATGGCATTCTTGCGAGTATAAGCAGCATAATTGACATGATGCAAGTTTGTGTAAGAATGGAAAAGGTTGTTGGGAAACAATGGTAGAGGAACACATCCTCTTAGGAGATCACACATGTAAATTAAGAGAGCATGCTAGTGATTGTGTTTGACTTAGTGAATTATGTGTACATGTCTGCTGAAATGAATTATTAGAAAGGACATAATTAGAATTAAATAAAACTATTTCATTCTGTCTAACAAAATAATTTTTGGCTGTAGTTTAAACTCTTGTCAGAGTAATGTGAGTTAGTTTTGTAGTTAGAACTTTATATGCCTTTATTCTCAACACTGAGACTAGAAATAAAAAGGAAGCTCTTGTATTGTAAGTTAACTTTCTTGCTTCATCTGTTTTTGTCAGTGTCCCTAGGATACCATGGGCTTTTGCTATGACTGAAGTATGTGGCGTAATTCTTTGCTACATCTGGCTATTGGTTCTTCTGCTTCACAAACACAGGTACAGTATATAAAATTCAAATTAACTGGTACTTTGATTCAGAGAAAGAACTGTAACAAAAAGGTGTGATGATTGTTTAGGATTTTCTGGTCAGTAGGAATCTTACAAGCTTCTAATATGTCCCTATTAAAATGGGTTAGGGAGGAGTTAATCAAGAATGGTCACTTGTGAATCTTACAAAAGAATAAACTGAATTTACTTTTCTACCAGAATTATGTATGGTTTCCTTCCGAACATAGGTATTTCAGAGAGTTGCCAGTATATACTCTCATACTCTAACAAAGAAAATCCTATGGGAATGAAATTCCACAGGATGACTGAGCCAGCCTAGCAGCTTGCTGTCATGGGAGGGTAGAAAACCCTTTTGTGTGCATGCATATTTTAAGTCAAATTTTTACCAGTTTGTTGATTTTTATCATTTTGCCAGCAGAAGGTATGAGTGCCAAAGCTAGAACAAGTGTAGCTGCAGAGGAGTGGAGCTGTACCCTTTGGTGACTATAAGCTTGCTGCAGAGTCTCACCTTGTCATGTGGAACCATTACAGTACTACTTTAAGAAAATAAAAATTAAACAACAAAATTACTGTGAAACTTGCAGCAGTGGTGAAGGGACTGTATGGGATTAATTTGGGATGTGGGGAAATGTTTTTATCATATCTTTCCTGATTTAAAAATACAGTATATTAGGATTCTTGCAATCAGTTCCTATGTACTTTTCCTAGATCTATACTTCTGCGAAGGCTGTGCAGCCTCATGGGGACGGTATTCTTATTACGCTGCATTACAATGTTTGTTACCTCTCTCTCTGTGCCAGGCCAGCACTTGCAGTGTACTGGAAAGGTAAAAACTTAAAATGCTTTAAATAAATTACTACTTTTATTTTCTATACGATTGAGATTGTTGTGACCATAATGTTGGATGTGTGTTTGTAAGAACAGCGATGTTTCTCTCCTGTTCCACTCCACACCCCTTCATTAATTGCCATTGTCTTCAGGGGTCTTAGAAGCACTCGCCACTTTGGAGAGGGGATAGTTATTTGGGGACGGGCGTTCACAATATTTGACTGTGTAAACTGGAGAGAGTACGTTGGAGAAGCGTGCACTTGAGATACTGACTTCATGAAGAGAGGCTGAAAGTGGAATAATAGCATCTATGTCTTGTTGGATGTGTGGGGGTTTTTGGGGGGGCGAAGGCTTCAAACCCCTTTTATTATTTCACCCCTTCTAATAAGGGGTATTCTGTAGAACATGTGATTTTGTGGTTTCATCCTAACTTCTAATTAGAAGAGGTTTGAGGTGTATATATTGGAAATTTGACAAGGACACATTGGGAGGTTGATAACCTACATTTTAATGAAAGACCCATGATAAATGCAAGATAAATGTATTAAATAGACATAATGCTGTAAAACTAACTTTAAGGACAACTGCTCGGGAAGTGGGGTTAGAACATAGTAAAGGTTTTAATATTCCTGTCTTTCAGTTGTATGGCAATGTTTGGGCAAAACTCCAGCGGGCATTTGCAATATGGAGTGGCTTTGGCATGACTCTTACTGGAGTACATACGTGTGGAGATTATATGTTCAGTGGCCACACTGTCGTCCTGACAATGCTCAACTTCTTTGTCACAGAGTGTAAGTACAGAGTGTCAATACTTAAATATCCTTAAGTGTTAAGAATATGGGCTGGTTGCTGTCAACCAAGTGTGTAGGAGTATAAATACTTAAATATCCTTAATATTAAGAATGTCTGCTGCTTGACCTTCTCAGAAAGTTCAGTGTGTAACATTTAAGCAAACAAATAAAAATTCAGATTGCTGTGCCGTTTCTCATGTTTGCGACAGTTCACTTAGAGACAGGAAAGAAAAAGCACCTAGATTAATGGAGGGATGAATAGGGCACATTTGAAAGAACATGTGAGGCAAGAAAATAAGAAAGGCTTTCTAGCTTGCTAATGGGAGAATACTAGGAAAGATACTTACGATTGTTCTTATACACTTCCCTAGGTATCTGCCAGTGTCTCCTGTTGGGTGAAATGCCTGGCTGTACATTTAGTATAATCCATAGATCCATAAAGCCAAATTACCAAACCTCATAATGAGTGAGAATATATGAAACAGTAGTGCTCTTCTGTAAATACAAAGTGTGATTTCATATGTTATGTGGCAAGCTAAGATATTTAGTTTGAGTTCACTTTTGATGGAAGGACTGCATGAACAGGGTTATGTGTTTTATAACTTTTTTCCCCTTATTACATGGAGAAAAGGCCTGATTTTCATTAATAGAAGTTAGTTGAACAAAGAATTCTGCTTTGTGTAGTCCTAAACCATTTTAGGATGCCCTGTTCTTCCAGAAATGCTTAATAGCTGTATTTGTAAATGAAGTTACGAAGTGATAAGATACGAGTTATGCCATTGTTTTTGTTGGCTTTATTGCACCTGTAGATTTAAACAGTATTTCCAGATGGAGACAGTAAGTTCATCACATTTTTGGTTGAAAAATCTGTATAAAACCTGGAAATATCTAGGCATGAATTTCATAATAATGACCCAGATTTTTAAGACATTCAAGGTTAGTGGTTTTCTGTTTTCTTCTAGATACGCCAAGGAGCTGGAACTTCTTGCACACCTTGTCCTGGGTCCTGAATCTCTTTGGAATCTTCTTCATTTTGGCTGCACATGAACATTATTCTATAGATGTCTTCATTGCCTTTTACATCACTACAAGACTCTTTTTGTATTACCATACCTTGGCTAATACTAAAGCGTATCAACAGAGTAGGAGAGCAAGGATCTGGTTTCCTATGTTTTCTTTTTTTGAATGCAATGTTAATGGTACTGTTCCCAATGAGTATTGCTGGCCTTTTTCAAAACCTACTATACTGAAAAGATTGATTGGCTGAAGAGTGTGTAGGTCAGTTCAGATTTTTATGAAGCGCTATGACCAAGATCCTACAAGGCATGTGGTGGGGAGAATGTAAAGTAATAATTTTCATTCTGTGATCTTCTCCCCTTTCTCTTTGATTCTTAGCCATAAGATGGTCTTCCCACACTTCACAGGGCTATATTTTGTTTTCTTGTTGCTAAAATAGAAAACAGTGGAGACTGGTAAAGGCTATCTGTGAACCATGAATATGAACTGTTACCCTTAGTAAGGTTCTATGTGAATGTTTATGTAACTTTAACCTCAAATACGTGCTTGTACTGAATATAATCGGGTTTTTATTTACAGGTCCAAATAACCTCTGTTACGTGACATGCCAGCCTTTATGTTTACTCACTAAAATGGTAGAACTTCATGAAGACTTTCTTTTAAAACAGTTGAAAATGTGATTTTCAAACCGAACTCTGTTTATACTTAAAGATTGAGGAGTACTGTGTCATAATGAAGAAAACAGTGTAGTTCCTTGCTAAAAGGGTCTCTTAACTGTTAAATAACAAGTCTTAAAAGTATAATCAACAGTATAAATGGTCTGCATAGAGGTTGCTAAAACTGAAAGTCTGCCTTGTGGCTATGAAGTGATGATGTTTAATTTTAATGAGAACTTACTTAGTCTAGTCTATCAATGTGTCTATATGGTTATTCTAGCACTTGGAAGTTTTCCCTTTTGTGTTTAAATAAATGAGTTAAAGTAAACGCTACATCTACTGAAAGTAAAGTTAATTTAGCTTTAGTGAGTTTTAAAGCCACAAAATAACTTTTTTTGTGGTTTTAATTGCTTTATAGTCAAACCTGTGCATGTTTTTTTAGGAGCAGCTCTTTAACACTGGAAAATCAGAAAAGTTATATTCATATATCTTACTGTCCCATAAATGGATGGGGAAAATGCATGTAGTATCTCTTTCAAGAAAAGTAATAATAGTGAGTTTTGGAAATAGTGCTCATATTGATGTATGTTTTAGCACTCTGGTGTCAGCAATATGGTGACTATCTCTGGATATATATACACAGTATATTTGCTTATTTATATAAACACACAGAGTATATGTTCTTCTAACAAGTATGGAAAGAGACTAGTTCTTAAGTTGCTCATTTACCACATTGAAAGCTAAAAGTTCCATAAGCAGTTGAGTTTTGGTTGTTTAAAGAAAACAAACCCAAAACACACAAAAACCCAAACACAACAAAATACCCCTCAAACCCAGTCTCTGAGTCTGTAATGCGTAAGCAAGGGTCACAGCGTTTGTGATCTCCTATGCAGTCATTTGTAAGGGGACAATACTAATGTTGGTTGTAAAGACCTGAAATCAGATTTGTGCTAAATGAAAACTTCCAGGGAAATGGTGCAAGTCATAAAAATCATGTAGACCTTTTAATTTGGTCTTATATTACTTTTTAAACCTAATTTAGCTCCTATTCCACAGAGCAGTTGTGCATCTTAGAGTATCTCTGTATTGAGCACACATAGGTTGTACTATTCTGCAGACTTTTATATTTCTAACATTCCAATTTTTTAGCAAAATTTCAGGTTTAATACTATATTATTCAGTCTGCCATAGCCTGATGGCTCTTGCCATCCAAATTGGGAGAAATTTAAAAAAAAAAAAAAATCAGAAAATATTCTGAAAGATTTAAAGACTTTCATTTGCTGTTCTTACCTTTCTGATTTCAGAAAGGCAGTCTGAACATTCCTCTTGAGACTTTATAAGAAGAGCTCTATTTGTTAATTTATATTTGCCTTTTCAATGCACACACAGATATGAATACTTTTTTTTTTTTTTTTTTTTTTTAACTCTAGGAAACATCTGTTCTCAGGATGTGCAGCATTCTATTCTGAATTACAACATGTGTAGAGGTATGCACTTAAACTTGCAGTGCTGTTGATTCTGGAAAGAACCATGTCAGTGCTAAGTGGCATAGCTGTGTCTAAACTGAAAAATTACTTTCCAACTTAGACATGCAGGAGAATTTTCAAATACAGCCCAGTGTAACAATGTTTACATAAAGCAAAGCTATCATTTCAATACTATTTTTTTTAAATGAAGTTCATATACTTAAAGCATAAAATTTCTCTCTTTGTTCTAATTTAATTTTTCAAATTCTGTTAAGTAAATCCATCTTTTAAATCAGCATCGCCTATCAGTGCTTTTTAAAGGAAGCTTGTTCTTCTGTGCTGATTCCCTTGATGCTAAATATCTAAGTCAAGTAATAAACAGACTGGTTTTGTGAACATTGAAGTGGATTAAAAGATTGTTGGGATAATTGCCCTCTTCAGTTTTGGTAGTTCATTTTGGCTCTATAAACATGCAAGAGGAAGGCTTGAAATTGATAGAGGATGGGAAAATCTGATCTAACATCCAGAAGAGCACAGGTCAGTCTGTAAAGTTGGTAATGTAAGCTTTTTGTTAATTGAATGGAAACAAGTTGCAAGTAACTGACAGGCTTAAAATTCTATACTTCCTTTTTCAAGAGTCTGTTTAAGAAACGTTGCTGCTTCTCTGTTGCTGGCAAGCACTTTTAAGTAAAGGCAGCAGAGCATCATTTGGCCTTGGATTTAATGCTAAGTATGTTTAGGGTTGTCCTTCTCCCTTATGTTCATGCACCAGTCGTCTTGCTTTCCTTTAACTTGCTGCACCTAATCTGTGCAAAGTCATTTTCTGTGGTCTGTGGGAGTGCACACATAATCTGAATTCAGAGTAATTAATGAATTATTGCATTATGTCAGCAAGTACGAGTGTCTAACAACATTAGTCTAGTACGACAAAGTGCGTAATGTAATCAAGTAGAAAAGTCTTAACTGAGTAACTCTGGATATAAAAAGGAAGGGGAGGATCACTTTTGTTTTTTTGTTTGGTTGGTTTGTTTGTTCTTTTTTGGTAGCTTAGCAAATCTAGTACTGTTTGAGACTTGACAATAGTCTTAAGCTTTTCCTTATTATTACCAGTTTGGGCATTTGTATGCACATACCTGCAAGTGATAGACACATAGGCACTCCCCTTTGTTGTATCTTATGATACAGCTTCTTATAAAGCTTTCCTAAACCTTTTGCCTTTAGTTTTTCCTTTCTAAAAGATCCCTTAAACTAGTGGGTTTATGACATTACACCTGCATACAGAAATTAGACTTTAATAGATGTGATTTTTAATAAGTTGTGATTACATTGACAAAAGCTTATGGAAGGATCTTTAGCAAGGTTCCTCCAACTGTTCTTGAATAATGATATAGAAAGCTTCCATATATGCTAATTAACTTCACATCCTCTGGCAAGCAAGATAACACAAAGTATTGTTACAGAAATGTAGATAAACTGGAAGTATTTAAACATCCAAGACTAGCAGGAATTGGATCTTGCAGGTATATTGCTTGTGATGAAGCAAATTATATGCTTAACTTTAAGCAATCACTAAGTACACTTGACTTCAGTAAGGGTAGCCACCTTTGAGTTTAAGCATTTTCTTGGATGAGGCCAAGTGCATGCTGTATGGGGTATACTCTACAGTAATGGGAATAGGTAATGTCACTTTCTTTTGCATCTTCCCACCTCCAGTCTACTATAGAGGAAAACATTCCAGTAGAATTTCTAATAAATTACTACTTAACTGGGTTCTGAGAAAATAAATCTGGAAAAATAAAAGGGAGGATGGTGACATCAAAATAAATCTTGGTAGCTGCTTTAAGAAGCAAGAGTCAGTTAAATGATTAAATAAAATGTTATTTTTTGATGCAAGTATGTTAAATAAAGTTATTCAGGAGTATTGAAACCCTTCAGTGAGGATAAAAGCACAGGTTCCTGTAATCTTATTTTCTGTATGGCTGTGTCTCATGTGCCAAAAAGGGTGTTGAAGG